CTGGTTCAAAATAAACTGAACCAGTTCAGAAGAAATTGAACTGGTTCAAAATCATATTGAACCTGAACTACAACATACATTTATGTCCCTGAATAGGAGCTGTCAAAAATTAAATATCATCATGGGTGTGGATATGAAAAAAGCAATATATTCACTGGGAAAAAATTCCTAACAATAATTTTGAAAGCTTCTGCACACCTCAGTAATTTCATCTAATATATAATTGTTACCTTCTGCATRTTGGATGACAAGGATGGCAGTTCAGAGTTGTCTTCATCATGTCTGTTCTCAACTATCTTTATTATTTCTTTGCAGGCAAACTTGATTTGACCAATAACATAGTCACGGTTGACCTTCAAATAATTTAAATGTACACAGTATTAAGAAGAGTGAGTGGTCTGAACACAGCTGTAAGCGATGTAGGTGTGGTATGATCGTCTGTGTGTGAGAAGTCTTGAGGAAGACTAGTTACTTCTGACATTTCAACATCCTGTGTGAAAGTCATCTTCAGTCCATTAAATGTACTAGATGACTTCGAAACAGGGTTTTGGAACGTCCTCACCCACGAACGATCATATCACACTAGTTAGAGCTTTTAATATTAAAATATGTGTTTCTCACCTTGGCACTGGTCAGGGAGGGATTGCTGAAATACACCTGCATAGTTGATGATAGCACACCAACTGCTTGTCTTAGTATTGCCATTGCTGACAGCAATCTTGACCTTTGATTGGAGTTACTGAGCTCCTGATGAAATAAAGTACACATTAATTTAAACATGAACAGTACTAAGATTAAAACAATGTGAAACAATCGACATGGTGTATGCTACAAAATTACTGTTAGAACAAAGATTGTAATTTGATGAAATAACATAATAATAATAATGTGGCGACGTGTTGTTGAGTGCGCCCCGGCCCTTAGGGTCGCCAGATGATGAATAAATAACAAATAATAATAAATAACAATAAATAACAATAAAATAATAAATAACAATATAAACAATGATCAAGATGTCCAGTAGAACAATAGGCATTGTTTCACATATTTGATCTACAATTCTTATGTCATCTCAACCAAYCACAAACTTCGTTCTGACRGTAGTGGTCAACCCTAYTTATTGCATGGGTTTTGGAATTTCAGAAAAGCAATTTATATTAAAGTTATCTAAAACAAGAGATTTTAATCTTTTAATTAGTTTTTTGAAACTCCAYCACATACCCTTTGCCGCTTGTTACAGAGACTTACAAGAAGAACCAATGATTCTGAGAAACCCTGACAAAATAAAATAAAAGATTAATATTAAAATAAATATGACGTCATACAGTAGTCTTGACATCAGTAGTCTTGACAACAGTAGTCATGACAACAGTAGTCATGACAACAGTAGTCTTGACATCTTTTCATACAAACAAAGACTGACAGTATGTATGTACTCTACAAATACAGGCATGCATAATCTTTTTCATGATTCCCTGCATCTTCTTGCAATGTAACTGCATGCCTTTGCATTGAAGTGAGAGCTGATCAGTGAACATGCAATAATAGACATCTGTAAGTAATGGTTATATGTGAACAAAGGTTTCTATAAATTACTGATGATTGAATGTTAGAGACAAACATTTTTATCATTAGTCAAGTCAAGAAAGATTACCCTAAAGCTGACAAGAAAWCCATCCATCGAGGTGACAGCTTCAGTCAGCCCCAGTCTATCAATCACCCAACAAGTTGCACAGACTATTTTTTGAACCTCAGCCTTGTCATAAACTAGAAGTACCTGTTAGATAGATAGATTCAGTTTAATAGTTATAATTTAAAAACAAATCCCTAAGAGGAATAAACAATTTGGGCAAAGYTTTTGTCTAAAACATAGTATTACATGACCATGCATGTCCTAAACTTACAGTACAGATATTTCTGCCGATCAAGGCAATGTATAATGATCATTAGTCATGAYTGTTTCAGACCATTTCAATCAGGACAGGTTGCAGGGTGGAGGAGGTGCAGACTGGTATATAATTATTCTTTTGTTACCTTCATGGTGGTTTCTAAGATGTTTCTAGCTGAGTCTACCAATGCATAGCGTACTTCTCTTGAGAAAGGGTGCTGAAGCAGCTTGTTTGTTGCGTCATGAAGGCTATTGCCAGCAGCTGTCACTAATGCACATGCTTCAGGCATCTCACTCTTAAACACCTATTTAATTTTGACTGGTAAGTTTACCTTTTTATAAACTTAAAGTCTGTTTACATGTGGATGCGATGAAGGGAAGAGTGGCTGTTGAATCAGATGTGAAAGCTAGCACGCAAAGCAAGGAAACCATGCGGTGTTCTCTTCTTTATGTGAGCAGTCTAAATACAACTGTAAGTCTACACAGCACTGTAGTTCAAAAGTTGCYCCTGTGTCCTCTTGTCATCTATCTCATAGAGACCTTGTGGCCCACTCATCCCATCATGGACTAGGGTCATGGCAAAATTTATTTATTAATAATTATTCCCGGCAAGTGCACATGCCGATTATAATATATGACTTACATGAGGTACATTATGCATACTCAACTTTGAATATTGATAACAATGTTGGTTTGTAAGGAAAAAAATAATTGATTGACATTAGCCAACTGTGAATTCCACATCATGAATTTTGTCTGGCCACTAGTTGCATAGATCAATGCAAAGGATCAATGATGTGCATGTTTCTTTATCCTGTGTGCTGGTGTTCCTCAGTGGGGGAGGAGAGAAGAATTAGAAGCCAGGGTCGATTCTTTGCTCTGCCCCTAACATTGGAACACCACGCACACAGTCTAATGTAAAGTACATGTACATTAAGTACATATTTAAGTTTGCTTAGCATTCATACATCAATGAATACTTTACCACTGCTGCATATTACAAATAAATACACCATTATAACAGAACAATAATGCTACCTCATTGTTGCTTTCATTAACTAASGTCTGTGCAGCAATCACAAGGTCATGGATTGCTGAYGTGATCTTTTCTGCATGTGATACTAGCATCGGCATTGGGATGCCTTCTTTTTCTCCTGCTTCATTTAGAATGATAAGCTGTGACACCTACAAATGTACAATAAGTAAATTACACTGTAGTTGTATTGTATCCATGGTTTTTCTAGATTTATTTATTTTTTTCTATGGCACCAATACCAGGTGAACACTGGTCATGCTTTGTGTTTCCATGATTCATGCATTAACTGTACAGTCAAACAAAATCCTTTCTACAAGTAATGGATATTCCTCTATCACAGCAACAGAATATGGTGTTCAATGTCTTTCTGAATTRAAAGCACAATTACAATACAAAGAACAGTTTTTGTATAATTCTAGCTCTGCAGGATGAAGACAAAGTACAATTACTTTTTCCATGTGACACAGACTTTGGGTCTATTGAGGCATTAATGATTATTGACCAGGTAAGTTTTTGCAGTTTTGCCCACCAGCTGAAGTGCAATCCAAAAGAGAGATGAAAAACTTAAGAAGACTTTCAGAAAGCTTTCATCACATGCATCAAATGGTACTAATAATAAGTTTTTGCCAGACAGTTTTTTATTTGCAAAAAAAAATCGCCAGAAAATCGCGAAATTAAAGAGCTGCTAAAAAACGTTCACGCAAAAATTTCTGAAGTATCTAAAAGCAAAAATTTCTAATAAAAGTTAAGCTTAGTATCTAAAAGCAATGGCAAAAACGCGAAAATTGATGGCCGCAAAATTAACCTACTTAGAAATTTCGCGAAGTTTAATATGAAGTGCCCGCGAAAATTAACTAGTGCGAATAAGGTAYTTAGAAATCTACTTGACCAATGCACATCATAATATAGAAATAGCTACGCACATCAGACTAAAATCCCAAGTGTTTACAGTTGGCTTTTTTAAGCTTACAGTTTATGGAAGTCAAATACCTGAGCTGCAAGTGGCGCCATGACAAGTTCAATCGATTTAGTTTGAACAAGAGAAGATAACAGTTTTGCAGCCATTGTTGCATGCTATATATATCAGGATCGTAATATTTATGGCATGTTTAGCCTGAAGAAGTYGTTGTCTAAACTTGAACACATCTTTCGAGATACTTTGTTTGTTATTTGTTTGGCGCTCTCACGGTCGAGGACACTGGTACTAGTTGTAATACCACTGACCGCAWCATGAAGACAAATTAAATTTGAAATACACTATATTTTATACAAATAAAGAAGATTTTTGGATTTTTTTCACTCTATTTTGTTTTTATTTTTGTATAACCCACGTATTTAGCGTTAATACTYGCTACAAACTGGAAAAATTAAACACTTGACTCTCGAATTGCGGACTCAATTGCTAGTACCCAGTCCCCCTTTGCCTTCATAGCTGCAAGAAACTAAAACAAAGCAAAGGAACTGCTAGAATCTTGATTTTGGACATTGTTTTCTGCGAATTACACTTCCTTTTGCTCAATATGGATGACTTAAGATAGCCAATACGCATTTAAGACAGCAATAGGGTGTCTTGATTGATATTGACAATGTGATCCAAGAAATTATGGAACAGTTTTTGCAATCGGCCACTCTGCATGGCCCAGCTCTTGTTCACAAGGCTCAACGAGAATGCCAAGATGTACCCGAATCACCTTTGCTTTTTCTTACACATCCAACTTCTGGACAAAAACAGAGTTATTTTTGGCGTAGATTTGAGGTAGAGTACAAACATTGAATGTGTGCAACACTTTCCACTATTAGTGTTAATTAAACAATAGAAAACAATATATAATTTGCATAATTTACAATATTTAGTGGTATTTATGTTGCACAGTTATAGTGTTTGTATGTACTCTACTTGGAATGTGATGACAGCAACACCCCTTGCTCACCCCCACTCCCCCACTCCCCCTTCTATAAAAAGGTATGACTTTAATAATACAGCACATCATTTATTCCCAGGAAAGCAGATACAGTGAAGATCCAGATTTCAAGTTTTTAAGGTACGTATTTTATAATGTACAKAAACAATTTAGTACTTGGGGCAAAATACATGTACGTCTATGTCTGTACTGTACATTATGAAAATTGTCCTCTTTTTGTTTATATTGTAGTTTGTTTGGCACCAAACTAGACAAAGATTTCAAGGACAGAGTATGCAGCTTCATCTCATCCAAGTCTGATTTGTTATTTKCTGGTAAAACAGCTTTAGATGAGTTCAGAAAGAGAGCTGAATATGACACCATCCCTCAAGGTATGTACATTTACATGTATGGTCCATGAGGMCAAGTCTATTTGGGCAAGATGTGCCCTGCAGGCAATATGTTGTGTAAGATTACAAGTGTTTTTAAGGTATGATTGGTGAATCAGGACCCAGGTCCATGTGCCTTGATTCACAGACTGCAAAGCTATGATGAACCTCTAAAGTAAAAAAAGATCAGATAAGAGACTGTTTGTTAATTATGTATGAGTCAATTCCAAAGGTGCTCACCCCCCCCCCCCCCCCCCCCCCCCCCAGGCAAACCCCGGGCAAACCCTGGGCATTTGACACGACTTTACCTCCGTACAGTGGGGAATTTGACTCTGATTTAGGAGCAGACGGGCAGGCATTTGACGACCATCTTGGAAATTATCGATTCAGATGCGAAACCGCTATTTCGTGACAAATATCTCGGAAACCTAAGCATTTTAAGAAGAATAATAATACATTTATTTAATATATAGCGCCGATATCCTTACAGTTCAAAGGCGCTATTTCACATGATCAGTATTTTTACTGATCGCTATTAGCAGCCACGAAGCTTACAAACATTCTCGATCTTTTGTACTTTCACGATGAGAAATCACGATATAAAAAGCAACAAAAACACTTGAAAACTAGCGTAAAAAACTGACTTATGGGGCGGCATTTGAACACTCATTTGCTTTTACTTAGTGTAGTGGGTATTTGACTGTCAATTTTGCCCATATGGTGGGGGGGGGGGGGGCTGATGGGCACCTTTGGAATTGACTCATACATTACAGTAGTATCAAGAGGGGAGCAAGTGGAAGATTTACCCACCTTTCTCCTCCCAAAATAAGTAGAAAACTTAATAAAATACACTCCCATTGATGGTTCTTTGCATGGCAAAAATTTCACTCAATCCCATTATATTAAAGACAAAACATGTACCCCAAATCCTGATATACCAGTGTGATAGGATTTCCATGACCAAAGGTTTTTGTTCAATTATTATGTAGATTTGTATGCTGACATTGCACCTTTAGAGGTATTCATGGGTATCCCAACACCAATCAAAACACAACAATTCTTAAAGGTATTTCAGCTGTAATTTATGGTAAAATCACCATGGGCACTATAAATTCCTTAGTTTTAAAAGGTTTTTAATTTTATTTAAGATTATACAAGAAGGGGATGTTGTTGTTGGGAAGGTTACGGCTAAAAAGCCATTTGGACTATTTATACAACTCATGGATTTAGAATTATCAAGGAGAAGAGACCTGTATGATTGTAACATCCAGGTACATGTACATTGTAATACTTGTATATAAGTGTGCATTATGATAGTCATTATAAATTCAGATCATGATTGATCTTTTTTTTTCGCTCCCCATAAATTTACTCAATACATGCAAAATCATATTCCTGATCTATTATATATCCATCAACTTATTCATAATCCTTTTCCCTACCATTTTGTAAACAYTTTCATCTACCCATCTGTCCATCTTTTCATCTTATTTACACAACTGTTTCATTCATCTATTTATTCATTTCTAATCATGTACTACTGTAGGATCTCAATGCATCTATTCTTCAAAAAGCAACAAAATATATCATATAATACATTATGTAGATCTTTTCTATAGCTTTACAATACAAGTATTTCAGTCAGTCATGTGTTCACTGGATATTTTATCCATCATTTCACTCATTTCCCATCCTTTCCATTCATTCATTTCATTCACTTGAACAATGTATTAAGTACTGCATACATGTACACTCTCACTAACAAGGGAATGTGCTTCTTTTGTTATACATAGGCCCTTTGCAGATCCAATGATCTCAGTCACGATGCAAACCACAGGGAATATAGCACAGACCCAGTAGGTGAATATAGAGTTGGTGATTACGTCAGAGGTAAGGGTTAAAGAACATCATACCAGATACAATAACATCAAATATCATAGTACACTGAATTCAAATAATAATGGACTTTCAGCTGATATCACACAAAGCAATCACCTTCCATGTCATGGTATTCAATGCTAATGCACTGTCTTTAATTTTTATTTTGACCTTCTTTTTCTTACATTGTCACAGGGGTAGTTATAAGTGTAAATACTGAAGACAAYAGAATAGCTGTTTCTTTAAAGTCATCTCAACTCAGTGAAGAACATCAAAATCTTACTTTGGTGAGTGAAACAAACTTGTATAAAGTACAGTGATAAATAATGTTGAGTAATTAGAACTTCTCTTTTATTTGATGATAGGGTCTGTTGGAGGACTTTGATGCAAGTAAATTGAGGTACATATCCTTGCACTCAGATAAAATACACATCATTGAAGATGATTGACATTGACAAGTGTAATTCGCTGGCTCATTGTCTCTTTTATTGACTCACTCACTGACTTAACTCACAGACTCATGAGAATAATGATTTAATTTATATCTGTATTTTCAACCTATTTTATTTATCATTGCTCATTTTTTTAATCAGCTATGATATTAATGAAGACAGTAGCTACATGGATTATCTGAAGAGTCATCCTGGTCTGAATAACCCCAGATGCATCAACACTCTGACAGACATGTTGGGTATTGATACCCAGAGTTCTTTACTGAGAGGCTTGCAGAGGTATGTAGACATGACAGTCTCTAGTCTAAATTGTTATTATTCTTATATTGTTGTTATTATTACCATAATTATTTATAATAATTTTAACATTATTTCTGAAGACATGATTATCCAAAGGAAGACTACTTTGATGARTTGAGGAAGAAACAGTCTGTCAAGTGGTCCATGTCATCGTGAGTTGAACTGTTCTTATAACTCCACCTTCCAGTATACCATACATGTATATTACATGTACAGTATCTCCTTTGAGTGCACAGTAGCTGAGTGTGAGGTACCTGTAGTTGCAAGCAGGTCTGTCAAAGTGATTCAACAAGGTCAAAAATGCTAGTGATAAATTAAAGTAATCGCTCTTTACTCAAGTACATGTATTGTCAATTTACAATTATTTTGCATGAGGTAATGCATAATAAATTGCAGCTAATAGAAGTGAGTTTGAATTGTACAGTGTAGATGAGGTACTGTCTCTCACAGCATGACGTTACGTAGTTTTCTCATACTCATTAATTATTCATGAGGTATCCAGCCAATCCCTGATTGTAATTTGTACCACGTGAAGTAACTTGAAGCCAGAGGAAGTACTCGTATCTTGTATTCTACCTTATTTCCAGTTACTTCTACCTTTTTCAAGCTACTTAATCTACATTATTTCCAGCTATTTCTACCTTATTTCCAGTTACTTCTACCATGTTTCCAACTACTACTAGCTAATGATAATCAAATTATTAGAAATAATCAGTTTAACATTAATTTTAGTGAAAAAAGGTCTTTGATACATGACTCCCTCATGACTTGATCCCCTACCGTCCAGTCTATATGCGCCGTCTTATACCATTACACCACCGAGTTTCTGATGCAATTCCTCGGAAGATAACATACTTGTAAATCTTATGGATTAGGCTCATTAGGAATGCCATGAATAGCAGACAAAGACAACTTGATCAGCTATTGTTTCAGAAAGCCGTCAGGGAATTGAAGAACAACAAACGGTGCTTCATGTATTCAAAATTATGAAAATCTTAGTGGAGATGCAATAAATCAATATATTTCTGTTATATGTATTTCCTTCACTTTTTACCCCTCCCGAATAATTAATGAGTATGAGAAGTCGTTCAAAGTCATCCAATTCGGACTGGACAAGATTTCAAGTCCTTGCAATTACATAGTTCCAGTCCGAGGCTAATGCATCGGACTGGAACTAATTGCGCGGACTTGAAATCCCCTCCAGTCCTCATTGTCGGACTTTAAACATTACTTACTAATTATATGAACAAAGATTGATTATCTGAGAGCACCTGTATTGTACTTTTCATTGTGCTCATCAAATTTTGTAGGACAGCAAAAGGTGTGGAATACTTTAAATCAGGCGACAAGACTCTAGCGATGAAATACCTTGACCACGCCCTCCAGATTGATGGACAAAATATTGAAGCTTTGGTGGCTAAAGGAGCACTGTAAGAATTGCTGTTTTTAAAAGAAACCTTGAAGAAACGTTTGCTTGCTTGCTTGCTTGCTTGCTTGCTTGCTTGCTTGCTTGCTTGCTTGCTTGCTTGCTTGCTTGCTTGCTTGCTTGCTTGCTTGATGGCAGAGTTGATTCACTGATTGATTGGTTGATTGATTGATTGACAGGTCTGCTAATGCAGGTAACTACAGCATTGCTATCAAACATTTTTGGCAAGCTCTTTCAATCAACCAGACTCACAAGAATGCCATGAAGTACCTGATAGAGACTCTTCTTGAACAAGGACTTCAGTGAGTTATGAATAAACCAAGCTCATCATTTACTTTACTTTACATCACAAAATGAGAATTTACTGAAGTGTTTGTGAAGAGCTGATAATAATAACAGTTATTAATATTCATTAGGCAAGAGAAGACTGGTCATCTCACTGATGCCGAGAAAWGCTTTCAGGATATTCTTGATGTCCAACCAAATCATGAAATGGCAAAGGAAAACATGACTCGTGTTAAGATGGCACTTAAACGTCAGGTGGGTACCCTGTCCTGTTTAGAGGYGTYATTTCTTACTGTATGTACATATATACTAGCTCTMCATACTGTACTTCAGTCCTTTCTGTTTTTCTATGTTTTCCAGCTTTGCGGCTTTTACTTGCAATTCAGAAGTAGATGCAATTACCAATTTTTGTCATCCTACTCTAAGTATAATATTCTAACTTTATTAATGCTGTGTTTTCTCTCTTTTTTCCACATACTGTCTGCTTCCTCCAAACCATAATATTTCACCACGATTTGGTACGTTAATGTGTTATGGGATTACCTTATTACAATGAAATAAACGACTTGCTTTTGGTATCACTATGGGTTTGTTATTGAATTTACTATCTTATTTTACTTCTTTTGTATTGGAAAATTCCTGTATTTTTTGTGACATTTTATTGTATTTATTATATTCGTCTGGTTTGTAAATTTGTTTCATCATTGATATTCGTATTGCTGTTGATGTCATTGCTTTTCTGTTTGTATGTTTTTCCATTGCTTTTCTGTTTGTATGTTTTTCCATTGCTTTTCTGTTTGTATGTTTTTCCATTGCTTTTCTGTTTGTATGTTTTTCCATTGCTTTGCTCTTTGTATGTGATTGTTATCGTTCTTATTACTATATCTGTAATGCTGCTTTCCTGTATTGCTGTCTTTGCGACTGTTAATGCCCATGTATTAATGCTTCTTTCATCACTGTATGGTTGCCGTTATTCATATCCATTGCATCCGCGCTTGGTATCTCCTGTATTATTGACATCGTTGATGTTGTTGTTGATATTGTTGTCGTTATTGTCGCTGCTCCTCTATTGTTGTCAATCGTTTTGGTTCATGTTGCCATTGTCTCTGTTGTTGTTGGTGGTGGTGTTTTTACTGATAATTTCTTTTAATGATGTTATTGTTGCTGCTTCTGTTCCTGATGTTCATCTCACTGCTATCGTTACTCTTGTCGATAATCATGATTTGTAACTATGCATTTTGGTGCTAATGTTGCTGATGACTTTGTTAATGGTGCTCGTGTTGTTGGGGTTCGGTGGTGAAATTTGATATTGATGATGCTGTTGTTGCTGCTGTGGTTGTCGTTTGCTGTTATCTTGTTGCTGGATTATATCGCGTTGAATCGATTTCGTGTTGTCGGGCGTCGGTGGTAATGTTAATTTGATATTGATGATGCTGTTGTTGTTGCTGTCGTTGTCGTTGTCGTTGTCGTTTGCTGCTGGATTATTTCGCATTGAATCGATGCTACTTGAAAGAACGAGCAGGAGAAAGCTCGCAAAGAGGAAGTGACCAAAAGTAAGTTCAGCCATGTCAGGAAACTAATCGAGGAAGAAGAACAACATCGACGGAGGAAGAAAAAGAAAAAAGATAAGTAAGTAACCATTATGACCAATGCCATGCATTATCCATATAAGCGAGTACGRTCAACTTTCATACGTGACTTTTACCCAGGTAATAGCTGTGAGATAGGGGCGGGCGGACAAACAGGTCTGGGACCAAGGGCAGCTATGATCAACAKGATTGATAACATCATCAGCATATTACGAATATCATGATCATAAGATCTTCAAAAAATTGCTTTCTTGTAGAAAAAAGAAAAAGAAACATGGCAAGAAGAAAACACGCAAGTCCAAATACAGCGACAGTAGTTATAGTGCTAGTGAAACCTCAGATTCTGATAGCGATAGTCCTACCCCCAGCAAGCGTCGTCGCTCGTCTGAATACGATGGACATAGACAACGAAAATCTTCAACGAGTAGCAAGAGATGATTCCGCGTCAAATTCATCGGCTGTTTAGGCTCGAGTTTATGCCTTTTAGGCCTGATTTAATTTCGATTTAATTGCTTTCTCTTATCCATCTTACGTTTTTTTGTTTGTCTTTGTATTTGGATGTGAATGGTTGTCGCCGATTGGTTGTAGACTATTGATTGATACGTGTTGTCGATTGGTTGTAGACAATTGATTGATACGTGTTGTCGGTTGGTTGGTCGGTCGTTTGTTGGGATTGCTGTTCCTTTGACGGTTGAATGGCTTGTCTTTTGTTGGTGGGTGGACCGGTACGATATATTTTTCTATATTTTATTTTAATTTGTTCTGGGTATGATTGGTTAGTTGGTTGTTTATTTCGATTGATGAACTTCTGTTGGATGACTGGCTGGTCGTTTGTTTGTGGAATAGCGTTTAGTTTGATGGATGTTTGGCTCGCTGGTTGGACAGTTATCTAGTGAAGGTGATTAATGGATTGAATAATACATTATTATTGAAAATGAATGAAMAAAARTGAAAAGATTAAAATAAAGGAAATAATGACTTGTGTCTTCAGGGTTTATAAAAGAGTAAAATAAACGGGAAATTTATTCAATCCCTTGTCTTTCATGACATTATAATACATCATGGCCCACCACAGACCTCCGGCGACCAGGGAAATTGAAATTTCAACAAAGTTTATAAAGTGCCCGCATTTCCCGGCCCTTGATTGAGAGCATTTCCTTATTTGAATTAGACGTTAATCCCCCCGCGCTACTGTTGACTTGTGCTTTTAAAACGATGTCAAATTCCCGGCTAAAATTTGTTGATTCACCGGCAAAATAAACTAGAATCGCCTGATTTTAGGACTCGAAATGCTTGTTTTAAAAGATTGTTCTTTTTTAATTGATTGTTCTTGTGTTATGAGGTTCCGTTTTCATTGTTGCCGATTGTGGATTGCACCATAGCCAAAATTCCGTCCAATTCCGGATTCGTCGTGTCATTTGTTTGGGCGAACTGGGTGGGAATACCATCACGTTTATATAAAGGTCCTAAAATGTAACGATGTAAAATGCGTGCGGTAATCATAATCTATATATTTCCATCGGGCACTACTCCGTTAGCAATCGAACTCGGCAATGAAAATAAAAATAGAAAGTCGAGGACTGCATATATGACGCAGCTGGCCAGATTTAGTAAACTTCGAGTTAGCTGTCTTACAAAATGACATTTGTAATTGGCCTTGGAAGCTCTTGACTAAACCATAAAAACTCCTTCTGAAAATGTGGAACGTACGAGTATTGGAGTTTGAGAGGTCTTCAATAATATAGGGGAGTACCCTCCCCGGGCCTCAATCGTGTTCCATTTGAATTCCGACACCGATCTTCAAGTTGGTTACAGCGAGTCGGCTACCTGGTCTGTAAAAACACCACTTTTACATTAAGAATTTTGTCAGAGATTTTTGTCGTGGTGTTTATCCGAATACAATGTGATGTCTGTCAGATAAGAACTGTACACCTTTTCTGTCTTTTCAGTSATGMTTTGGAAAACAATAACGACAATTCGAACAWCAGTGAAAGCCGTCACAGTTCATCAGGTACATCCGGGTATTCGGCCGCAAACCAGCACTCAGCACCCATCCCCACMCCTATCAAATAACCAATCCACTGAAGAATGATTGAACAAACCTTTATCGTTTGCTAATTCATGAGCTGAGTTCTSATTGGCTCGCTRCTCCCTAAGGATCTTGGTGACGTCATATATTAGCATAGAACTTCACCGAATAGACTACCCCCATTAGATATYAGATATSTATAAGTGTCTTCATAGTACGATGGTCTAAGAGGGTAGCTAAAGGTATGCTCTAGTGGGCGGCTACCCCCTCACTCCCTGGCCTTTTGGTTAAGACTAAGTTTTATGTTCACTCGGGATAGCGTGGAAGAGCCGAAATCTCTAACCGTAACGTAAGCCGATTCGACGCCTCAGCTTCATAGAATGTCTCGGGGGAATCGTCCCATCATTTTAGTTTTATTTTTTATTATTTCTTATGTATGCCAGGGGGGGTTATACTTCTACTGAAGTAAAAGTCCTGAGTTCGAGCCCTGCTGCTGACATTTCTCTTTTTTGCGCATTTATTGTTTCTTTTTCGCTTGCTTCATTTTTTCTTCTTTTCTTTTCTTTTATTCTTTTTCTTTGCTGTTGTTACTTTGTTTGATTTTCTCTAGAGATTTTCTCTTTTCATCTTAAACATATCAAGGACTCGCATATTAATTTGTTACTGTCTAAGGGATTCCTGTGCTGATARCCAACAGGGGAGCCTGGAAACAAATTTTTTCCTGTTTCTTCTTCAAGTTTATGTTTTGATTTTTGTGTAAAATGATTGCTGTTGAAATATGTATTGCTTACGGATCCATGGCTTTATTTATTGCTTTACTAAATAACGTGTTTCTACTCTACTATGTGGACTTATTTCTCTCYGTTTATCGCATTGATAAAGCGTCGTTYTGGATCGGAGAGGTGAGTCAAAATTATTGTGTTTTTCGATCTAACTTGCAACTTAAGTTAAATCAAGATATAAGGATTAGCTTACAAACAATTTACTAGAAGTTCATTGTTACTCTTATGCGGTTCAAGATTTCTTTTATGTATTTTGATAGCTTAATTGCATATTAGTTCAAATATTATGAGATTTTTTTAAAACCTAGCTTTTAATTCGGCAACTCGATCAACAGAGACATTTTATTTTAAAAGCCTAAAATCATATTTTATTTTATATTATATTATATTTTATTTTAAGTTAATATGATATATTTTTGCTTGAATATTAAGGATGTGTAATTGTACGTTTCTTGAATATATAGCAATAATATTATTAAATTCGTGTTTACAAATAGTAACATTACAATTTTTAAGCTTATTTTGATTCAAAGTAAGCTTAAAGTATTCTGTTCTATAAAATTTTCGTGAAAAAATTGATGACGTACTTTTATTCGTCAATCTCAGTCAACAACTTGTATAATTATGTAACTTCTAAGATTGCTCAATACATTTTCATATAAAAAAAACATATACTTACAATAATTTTTAAATTAAAACCATTCGACTTTGTATATTTTCCAAAATATGTAGCAACAATTTAACATCAAAGTCAAATGCATTTAAATAATGATAAAAAATATTTTACCGAGCAAGCTTTTAGTGATTTGCAAGAAGATCCTAAGATAATTGAAAAGTAAGAAAAAATAATAAATAAAGATGATGATATTTAATCTTTTTAATAATTTCACTAAAAGCAAGAAGAGAGCCCAAGAAAAAGAATTTTAATTTAAAAGGCAGGATTTTGAAAAGTAGGATTTTGATTTTATATTTTATAATTTCTAGGTTATTGATATTAATTAATAATTTATTGATTTAGGTTGTATTCCTAATATGGAATTCAGTTAACGACCCGTTATTTGGTTGGTTGAGTGACCACAAATCATTGAATCCAAAAAAGTAAGTCAAGCACTCMATGTGATGTGTGAAGGCTCATTTACCTTTTTAGATGATACTACTCTACAATAGACCATCAAACTACACTATGAGACTGAATCTTAAACTACATTATAATAGACTGCATAGAAAGACTGGAGGAAAATCACAAAATTGTTGTCAAATGTGCACAAAATTGTCTTGACCAATGAGAGTACAATTAAAATTAAGAAATRTTGTTTCATCAGTCAGTGAGCAAGGGTGGTTCCAGCTGAAATTGTAAGGGGGGCTAAATGGGCTTGATATTTCACATAATTGAAAATATTAAAAAATCAGTTCACTTATTCTGCTCAGAGGTATGGCTACAGCCCCTATTTGCCCCTCCCTGGATCTTCCCTTGCTGAGCTCCTTAATGCAGCACAAAAGCCAATCTAGCAAAAGTATTGTAATTGTAACATGTTATTCTTGTTAGTTCTGGAATCAGTACCTCACAAGTTGCACAAAAAAGATTCAGGTAAGATTATCAACAATTAGTAATCTCTTTGTTTGTAAAAAAGTTTGAAATTCCACCATTTCTATTAGTTGGTTGTTTGAACAATCAGTTATCAAGAAGACTCAGTTAACATGGCAATGGTCAACAACTTTGTTATGTATATTTTCAGGGTCCTTGCCAAGTTTGGCCCATTATTTGCCGTTTCCTTCATGTCATTCTGGTTCCAGTGGGGGTCCCCTGGTCTACAGTTTGTAYTGTGTTTGTGTTTCTACGATGGATTCCTAACAGCTGTTGATCTTAATCACTTAGCATTATTAGCTGATCTAGCTTTATCAGCAGAAGACAGGACTAGATTGAATGGCTACTGCTCAGTSTTYAGTGTATTTGGCTGCATGTCAGTTTTCCTGTCATATTTTGTGTGGGACAAGGAGAATATTGCTTCTTTTAGAGTCTTYTGTTTTGGTTTGTCTGTCTTTGCACTAGTTGGTTTCACAGTGAGCTCAATATTTTTGAGGAATCACTTGAAATGTGAGAAAGTCAAAGTAGACACACCCATTGAAGATGTCGGGAAAAGGTATGTATGTGATTTGCATTGTAACTCTCATTCTCAAGATTAACTCTCATTATTGTTGTTTTCCTTTATTATGCAATGCAATAGTGTCATTTTCCGCTTCAAGACCAGTTTCATTTAAAATACCTCTTCAGTTGCTAAAATGTTATAAATTTTAACTTCATATCTCATTTCTAATGATATTATTACCTCACTCAGTTCCATGTTTTTTTCACTTTCTCCTTTCTGTTTCAGTACTCTTCTCTTTCTATTYYAYTTGATTACATGTCTTCTCCCATCTCATTGTATGTATTTTTGACCATCAGTAACTTAGGCATATTTTTAGACTAGAGCATTGTATGATTATGTTGGTTCCTGTTTTCAGCATGGCTGTTTCTGTGACACAGCCTTCAGACATCATAACTCAAGAGCTTGAATTAAAAGAATACATCAAGCAACTTGTCAATCATAAGAACTTCCTGTGGTTTGCTATCATGAATCTTGTACAGGTAAATCAATCAACCAAGAAAAAAACAATGTCAATTAATCAATTATGCAATCAATCAGTCAATCAGCTATACCAACAATCAATCAAGTACATGCCATCAACCAGTTGATTAATCATGCAATCAGTCAGATAACCCATCAATGAACTCTGACATCAATCAAGCAACTACATGTACATTTATGCCATCAGTCAATCAATTATGTCATCAACCAGTTGATCAATCATGCAATCGATCAGTCAATCAATCCATCAATCGATCAACTCTGCCATCAATCAACCAACTATGCCATCGTTCAATTAATCTATTAACTATGGCATCAATAAATCAATAAAGAAATCAATTAATAAATCAACTATGCAGTCATTAAATCAATCAATCAATTCTGCCATCAATCGTGCAATCAATGAGTCAATCATGCCATCAGTTAATTAAAATGTCTCCCTTGTTTTTCAGGTTTTTCATTGTCATTTTAATAGTAACTTTTTCCCACTTTTCTTGGAGAAACTACTTGGTGACACTATAACACCAAAGATGGGAGCCATGCTTCTTGGAGTGTCGTTTGTTGTCCCRCATATCAATAATCTATATTTCCTGACACTTTGTCGTAAATATGGCGTTTATGATGTCATCAAGTGGCTATTTTACGCCAAGTTATTGTTAGGCATCTCTATGATGTCATGTGGTCCGCAGTGGACTGTGTTAGTTTGTATTTTTATAGCAAGGTCAGTGTTATTCATTTTTAATCATTTTAATCACACTAAGACAAACTGTATCGTCATCGATAAAAAATTTGTTTTTGTTTTTTTCGCGATTAAAAATAGTTACGTCTCGGTCATTCTTCACTTAGGATCAATCCATCAATCAATCAATCAATCAATCCATCAATCAATCAATTTTCAGGGTCCTTGCAGGTCCTTAAATCCTTGAAAAGTGCTTGAATTGAAAACTCGTTTTCAAGGGCACTTGAAACTCCTTGAAAATTTGAAAATTTYGAAAWAGTCCTTRAAAAYTCCTTGAAMAAGATGGATCTCTATMACGAAGCGCTAGYGTTCTCTGAATTATTCCGTTCAGCTGAAGATTTGAGGCAAGAATGTACAATTAGCATGATTTTGATGCTTTTTGGTCCTGGAAAAAGTCCTTGAAAAGTCCTTAAATTTCGTTTTTGATACTCTGCACGGACCCTGATTTTATTTTACTACTTGTTACACTATAACGTAGGGAAGAGGGCAGGGGGTTTGGGAGGGTGGCTGCACATTATACAGTAATACRTGTACCCGGCAATATTTGACAGTGCAATTTAGCGCKTTATATGCATGCTAGTCCAGCCATTACTCATGATAACATTTTATGTTTCAGTAATCGAGTATTCACAGAAGGAACATGCAAGCTACTTAAYCTTGTGATTAGTGATTTAGTTGACGAGGATTTTGTTCTCCATGGTCGCAAACAAGCTATCTCAGCTTTAGTATTTGGAACCTCAGCACTTCTATCTAAACCAGGACAGACACTAGCACCGTTAATAGGTACATGGTTGCTAGCTAAACAGACTGGTACCTCTGTCTTCTATACAGGCAGTGATGAAATGAACTCTAGTTTCCATGATAGTTCATCTAAGGATCTACGGTGGGGTTGTTTCTGTGTTCTAGTRTATATACCGATAGCATGTGCTGTTATACAGATTCTWGCCTGGTCGCGGTTCACTCTCCATGGTAACAGATTGGTTTGGATCAAACACATGAGAAAGAATCAGGGCTTCGAATCTGCGACTGTTTATTAGGGTTGATGACATCAACCGTTATTTATAGGAATAAAATAGATAATATGCATGTGATGACGTCTTTGACATGCCCGTCAATACTTTGACGCACGTCACTATGACGTCTTAAGTAGTGACGTCAAAGTATTGTTTTGGGGTGAAAGGTATGGCGTCACTCAGCATGCCTCTGTCTTCTTGACTATCAAATCATACATTATATTATTGTAAAGCTTTAGCAAATGAGAATATGGCTAGCCTCACCATCAAGACGAGGCTGTAAATAGTCCACTTTTGGATCACTTGACATTGTTTAATGTAGTTTAGCAATATTCAATCAATTGTTTTATGAAAGTATTTTTATAGGGATGTAGACTATGGATATAAATGTTTGGGAAACAATAAATCGATTAGTATTAAGACAATGGTAAGACGGTGAAGGCTTTTAGCAATGACAGGTCACGTGACCCAAATCTACTTAATCTAATTTCCGCGTATGAGATTTCTATCCTTAGATGCCGAACTAGACGGAACAACTTTTGCCTACAACCATCGCGTAAATCATCCAACATTGTTTTAAATCTACTCAACAGTTGTAGCCATGTTGTAAGGATGACTTTCGCAGGTCGCATGCGATGGTTGTAGGCAAAAGTTACGTCGTCTAATTTGTCCTTAATCCATTTCGGTTTAGTATCGTACAGGTCGGAATTAAGCAACTTTGATAGACCTCTGAAGATTTTTTACGTCATGTTCCATAAACGCAATGCATTGTAGGATGTGCATGATTGGGAGACAACATGGCGGACAAAACATGGCGGATTTCTTTAGTTTTCTCTAAATCCTGGTCCCAAAATGCAATGAAAATCACGTAGTGACGAAAAAGATTCAGAAGTCTATCAAAATGTAACTCCTAACTTTAAAACCACACTGAATTCACGACATTAAATATTTTTATTATTATGTATTCMGCAGCACGTTTCATAATGTTTAGTTTGACTATTTTTTTTTCTTGTTACAAGTTATTTTTCCTTTCCAAGGGCTCGAGTAAAGCAACAATTTATGGTGTCAAATTAGCGGGTATTATAATCTCGCTTTTTTGTCCGTTTGAAGTACATAGCACTATAACTTTGTCATCTATAATTACTATAATTTGATTATTTTTCTTCACTTCAAGAAGGGCGTTAATGAAAAGAAATACTCCACACGAAATGAGTTTATTAACAATGAACGCTGTACACTTTTAAAGTGTGAATCGATCTATATGCTACTAGCGACCGTATAAAGTAGCATAAGTAAAACCTGATCTACAGGTCGGGGTTTATAATATAGAGAGCAGTACTAGATTTGAGTTTCCTTGTATTAGTACCGGACCACAAACAAAGCATTGGACCGAGGCGTCAARCCTAACCGCAATACAATATATTCCGGTACTCACCGAAAGGCCCAAATACTMCAGTTTCGAGATCTTATTTGTGCAGCATGTAAGATATTCTTTTATTAAGCAGATAATTTATTGTAAAGCAAACACTCTTTCTACAAAGAAGACTTTGGAAATTTATGCTTGATTGACGCATTCACACAAAAGAGAATTTGAAACTGGAGTATTTTGATACTTGGCAATTACCCTGGCTACAAACGCTAGCAGATTAGTAGACTGAAACAATATACAGAATAAAATACCAGCATCTAATGCAGTATATTATATAACAATTCTATCCAAGATAAGGATATAGTATAGTAGCTAAGTACTGGTGGCGCCCGGCCTCACTGGCACAGATTCAGGGAGTTGTACTCAAAGAAAATGCACCTGGTCTTCACCCTTTAGAGGTTGATCTCATGCCTCTCTCTAGTGCAATAAGGTTCGACAGTGCGCTACTGCCTAGTTAAACTTTTAATGTCGTATAACCCTTCCTGGCAAAATCCTGGATGCGCTCCTCAGTTTTCTTTAGGCCATCCCTGGGACCGAGGCAATATGACGATAGTCGAAGATTAATTACTACTGGTTTTTCGAGACGATTATAATTGCACATTAATTTGTGTTTTAGCACTCTCTAGCACTTTTAGTATCCATAAGATTTGTCTTTAACTGAGAAACTGAGAACAGAAATAAGCTCAAAAAGCGACCATGAACTAGAACTGAAGGCARTTCACTAAGGCAACTATGATGACCAGGTATCGAAACAGGATGTCGTTGAAGATAGAGATCATCGGCGCGCAAAAACAGACTACATCACCCGGGGGGGGGGGGCACGGGCTGCATCACCCTTATACGGTACAATGATATGGCTAATTCCTGTATTTGTAGGAGGTATAAGCAATCATTCCTATTAGGTCGAGGTATTCTACGATAGTTAACAAACTAGCACCAAGGAACAGACCGATTTGACCACCAACATCACCTAGAACATACAACACAACATGTTATACACCATCCTCCGCAGATATCACTAAGAATCACGGGCTGCCTGTCTTTTTGGGGAGTCGAAAGAGGGAGAATGGGGGCGATGACCGTTACAAAGGAACTGAGGCTACATGTTATATACTTTAGATACGACCGGCATAGAAAATAACGAATTATCATATTAAAAACTAAAGAGAATGAACAACTAAAGAGAATAGTGTTTTTTTTGTTAATTTGTCCTCYCTTTCCATCGGCATCACCATGAAATCAAGCCCGAAAAATCATATAAAGAAAGCGGTCGTTTTGAAAGGAGCCCGTACGTAGTCAAAACAGTTAGAGTCATACTCACCCAAGAGGCTAAACAAATCGTAGCTTGGTACTTGTTGTATATCTTTATAAGTCAGGTCTTCGTAGTATATATGCAGCTCAAGTAGATTATCTCTGTAGGCAAAAGAGGAAATAATGCATCATTTCGATAAATTAATAATTGT